AGCCGGTGAGACCAGCCGCGTCTCAGCACCATCATGCCACTGCAGCTCCTCAAAATCCTCCCATGCTGCTGCTGGAACCCACATTAAACATTATGAATAAATCACAACAAAGCAGCACGGTTATTACAGTTATTGTGGTTATTACCTTGGCATTAAACAGGACCATGTGACGCACGACCGATTCCAGGGACCTGCCCGCTCTGATGTTACCTGCTCTCCACCAGCCTCAACTAATTGCAAGTCCGCTTTGCTTCTAGGTCACGAAATGGCTGGACTTGCTGCTGGCTTGAAGGCTCCCTGAACAGGACCACAGGGGCTGCGGCCCTGCAAAAGGCCCGGAGGGCCACCCGGGGAGAGGAGAGGAGAGGAGAGGAGAGGGAGCCCGGGCCAGCAGGTGCAGCCGCACGCAGCACGGCTTCCTCTCTGCCCGCTGCCAGGAGAGCCGGGGCACCCTGCCGAGCTTCACCACGACAAACACCACCTCCTCAGCTATCCAGACCTGGGGTGGTGGGAGCCGGGGGGCTGCGGTGAAACGAATGTGCCTGGCACTGCGAGCTCCAGGGCTGGAAGGGCTGGAGTATGCAATCTCACGTCAGCTCGCCAGGCCTCCTCCAGAGCTGCCAGGCCAAATGCTCCCCTCTGCCCAGGGTGCCAGGGCTCATGTGGACTTGGGTTTCGGCTGGCGAATGGTTACGCAGCTTCCCCTGAGCACGGGAAGGGCCTTGCCCACCCCACCAAACCCCAGCCACAGCAAGAGCTGGCGCTTGGGCCCGCCTGTGCTGCGGGGAGCTCTAGCACAGCTCCAGCTCACCCACAGGCAGTCACACCAGTCTGTGGGTTCACAGGCATGCCACTGCGCTGCCTATTTCATCCTCTCCTCCCCTCACAGCCTGCCAGCCCCAACTGTCACCCCTTAACCAGGCTTGGGAGTAGCTGGGAGCACAGACTGAGCACCCTGAAATACCAGGTAGACACAGCCCGACATGTGGCCAAAGTCATTGGGACTTTCGGCAGCACTCATGGGTCAGTCTCATGGGCAGTAATTCCTGACACCTAACACATATCCCTTCATGAGGCCAGCAGAAGCACACAGCTCCCGCCTGGAGACCACGCCACGCAGTGTCACATCAGTTGCGGGGCACACGGGCGATGAGCTGTATCCTACCTTTTCATTCTTGGCGTCTGTATCGAGCTCTGCTATCTTGGCCCACTTTTGCCAGAAGTTGGGATCATCTAAGGAAATGTCAGTTCTGTTTCCTGATGCTACGAAGCTGGCCTGGGAGTGAAAGAAGAGGAGTGAACAGGGTGCAACCCACCATCCAGATGTGCCTTCCCCCATATAGAGATACCCAACACATCTGTCTGCAGCGCACAGTCTCACGGCCGTTGGTGTTACACCCCATGTTGACGCATGCCAGAGCGCTCCTTGTTCGCTTAAGAGAGCTAAACCCCTCTGTTCTGCAGTCCTGCCTGACCCGTTGGAAACAGAGCCTGGGCTGTGCCACCCGGAAAAGGAGGAGGGACAGATGGCCCTCAGTGGCCCCAGCAGACACCAGCCACGAGCGTGGCTCAGCGCTGGCTCCTCGGGCTGTCTCCTGTGGGGACGTCAGGGCCCCACGGCGCGCAGCTTCCCGTGGCATGGCAGCACCCAGCTTCGGGCATTGTGCAGGCCAGCAGACGGCTCCCGCCACCACCCTGAGGGTCTCCCCGCAGAGCCAGGTCCCACGGCAGCGGAAGAGTGAGGCTGGAGACAGAGATGGGCTGCGCTGCGGGAGGGCTGTGCTGAAGGTACCACAACCTCCCACACCACCGGCAGCCCAGGTCTCCACCTGCATTTCTGCTCAGCAAAGCACCACACCAAGGCAGCCTGGCGTCTGGAAGGGCAGGGGAGGTGACAGACTCCGGATCAAATAAGCTCAGCCCATGAGTATAAGATCAGCCCAGCTCAGGACTGGTTCTCACCCAGGCTTTGAACTCATCCATCCTCCCTAAGGAGAGGCCTGACCCTGCCCACAACAGCCCTGGGCAGAGGGTCTAGCTCAGGGCATGGCCTGCTGCCGCTGCACGGGGGCCTCAGCCC